ACTTACAGAAGAAAGAGGGGAATGGGAGGAAAGGAAGTTTAAAGATAAAATGGAGATGGTGAAGGGGAACTTAATGGGACTTAAAAAGGAAAGGGGGATGGTTTAGGGGAAAGGGGGAGAGATGAACAGGGAAACAGAGTAAAGGAGGTGCGGGAATTTAAGGAGGAAGAGGGAAGAAGTTGGAGGAGGTAGATGTAAGGCAAAATTTAAGGGAAAATTTGGAAATGAGAGAGGGTGGCAGAGGGGGAAAGAGAAAGGGAAATAGGGAAGGAGAGGAGGAGGGTGGAAGAAGGAAAAAGAAGTTCTTATCATTTTACTCTCTTGAAGTTCTATGGTTCCGGCTACATACTATTGTGCTTCTTATTATTGTTGTTATTGTTATTATTATTATTATTATTATTATTATTATTATTATTATTATTATTATTATCATTATTAACATTATTATCCTCATTAATACCGTTGTCTTTTATCATTATTTTCATTGTTATTATCATCATTGTTGCTGTTGTTCGTTATGTTGTTATCGTTATCCTTCTTACAATTACTACGGTATTAATAACATCACTGTAGTTGCAGTTAAAATAGCTGCTTTAGGTGTCATTAAAGTTACCATTATAAGTTATTATTTTCCAATTATCTATTATCATCGATGTTTCAATGCCATTATAGCCTGATATTATTATATCACTGAAATTATCATTATCATTTCGTTATACATTTACATTCATATTGATAGCGAAATGATTATCTATACGATCACGTTCATTTTCATCACCATCATCATAAGCTTTAAACCTCTCTTCCTGAAGGTGATCGTCCGTTGCATTCTGCTGTCCGTGGCGGTTCTGAGGCAGTCGTCAAGACACTGCTAAGGAAGGATGGTATTAAAATTGATGCTGCGGATGGAGCTGGTAAGTTGGCTGTAAAGCTCTGATATGAAGGCCTTGGAACCTTCCTTTCATATCTATTTTCCTTCTTGTTCATTATCGTGTTCCTCTGTTGCCATTTTAAGATGTAAATATCATAATTAGAATTATTACTGTTATCATTATTATCATTATTGTTATTATTACTATCATTATTGTTATTGGTATTTTCAGTATTATTGTTTTTGCTATTATTATTATCCATATCATTATAATGATTATCATCTTCATCATCATTAGTAGTAGTAGTATTAGTAGTAGTATTGTCATTATAACTATTACCATCATTCTTATTATTTTAAGTATTATTTACATTTTTACGATAATTATTGTCATGATCATTAGTGCCATTACTGATTTTGGAAAATTTGGAAATAATTTCATTACACCGATTTCTGAATGAATACTTTTCTTCCTGTATCTCTTTGTGTTTCGAGCGAACCTAGTAGTCATTCCTATCGCAAAGGAAATACTACGATGTCGGCCCCGATAGCTGGAGAGGGCCTCTTATGCATTAGTGAAACTGCAAGATAAAAATGAGTGTTGGAAGTGAATTTTTCAGTAATTTAGCTATATCGATGGACATTCGTAGTAAATTGGGGAATTCGTCCCTTCTTCACCTCGCATTTCCTAATAAGATCCCAGGCAAATATCTGGATCTTGTACTGATAATTTCTTCCCTTGACCTTGAATACAAAATGGTCAGCCTGCGAGTCTTCAGGATCCTCATAGGCAATGTTGGCGAGGGATTGTGACCACTAAGGCGCTCCTTCTTAGAGGCGATACAATTTCCCCAACACCTGATACACAGCCTTGCCATGATGGGACTGATTTGGAATTCAAACTGGCTTCTCTAGGTCCGGTTTCTTTTATCACGTGACTATTACAGTTCATATCGGCTCTGATGGACTTGTTTGCTAGTATCTATTGTCATGTCACGGTCAAATACAATTCCTGTTGGCTCATCTCATTGCATGCGTCAACCGCTACAATTCCGTCCGATTTTTCGTATGTTTCTCAATTTGGATCAATGTATGTATGTATATATGTATGTATGTATGATGTATGATGTATATGTATATGATATGTATATATATGATAATGTATGCTATATATAATATATATATCATGCATATATTGTATATGTATGTATATATAATATATGTATGATGGAGCGCTTTGAATGTTCCCCTCAACTGTCCTTACTATTAACTTATGAAGAAAATGCTATAAATGTCTCAAATTACTACGTTTTGTCGGATGGTGATTTCGATGTTAGACGTCATTTCCAGTAATGCCCTGTTATTATTACCATCATTATCATTATCATTATTATCATTATCATTATTATTTTTATCATTACTATCATTATCATTATTATTATCTTTACTATCGTTATTATTATTATTATCATTATTATTATTATTATTATTATTATTATTATTATTATTATTATTATTATTATTATTATCTTTGTCAGTATCAGTATAGTTCCTGTTATTTTTAGTAATATTATCACTATTAGGATCCTCCTCACAGGCCGGACCCCCCTACACCTGGCCGCTGAAAAA